TGTGCAGAAAACTGGATACTGAGCTTCAGAGAAGGGAATCAGCTGTGAAAAAATGGGCCGGCTATTGAACACCTGCATTGGTGACCTGGTCTCTTGGCTCAAGGCTGCTTTCCCACAGAGCCAGCCGGTCACCTGTCAGGTCCAGGGGTTATTAATATTCAAAACACACCTGATGACCCACCTGGGGCAGAGAATACGAAGGCAGACAGAAATTAACTTTAGCACTGATCTAGTAATTTTAGAGAAAGATTATTCTGAGGTTACTGAAGTCCTAATTCTGCATTCTGCCAACAAAATTCTCCTTGATGCTATTCAGCACACGTTGGAGCTCTTTATATCTTTCATAAGAGGCAGAGATCATTTTCCGATGAAGTGACCACTACGAACTCTAAGGGTGGGTATTTTAAAACCCAAGAATGTACTAAGAGCTGTAACTGAAGGAAGATTTTTCTCATTTAAGTCTCAAGCAAGGTTAAAGAAAGAAGAACCCTCTCCAGCTGAAAAGTAATTCAGTAATTTTCAGGATGAAGTCGGGGCTGTTGTTATTTCTAAGTGAGAAAGAAACAAAAATCTGATGCCAACAAGAAGGTATTTCCAAGAAGGAGACTGTAAACTGGGGAACGGAAGATGGGACCTCACACTGTTAAGTGGCAGCAGTTCAGCTCCAGGTTACTAAGAGTTTTGATGGTTTAAAAAATTCTTTATTTGCAGTCTCAATTAGTGAGTAGGTGCCCACCTCTTGAGCCAACTGGCATTCACATACACTGTTTCAGGAAACCTGTAAGGAGACTGACTGTACACAGCTGATCTGAGAACAAAACATTTAAAAAAAAAAAATCCAAGTGATTTGGGGAACAGTGATGACAATACACAATTTCCTAAACTTACTGAATTGTGTTAGAACTTCATGTTTAGTAAAATACATTTGAATTGGATAAAAGCAAGATTGTTTCAGTGTGTACTTTATTCAATTAATTTAAGAAAATGTTAGGAATTCCTTATGTTATTTTTAACAAGCAAAAGTCAAAGTGCATGAAGGGAAGAATACATACCCACACTAAGGAAGAAGGAGAACAATCCCTAGCACAAGAACATCCCACAGTACAACTACACCTACTGGCCCCTTGGGATAAGTGGTTCAGTCTATTTCCAGATCACTGTCTTCACTGTAACATGCAGACGGATTATGTATAGAAGTCAGGAGCACTAGGTCTTTTTCTGGAAGCAAACCACATTCCTGCAGAAAAGCCTCCAGGTCTACAGCAAAAAAATCTTCTCCAAGCTGGTCAGTGATTCGCACAAAATTGCCGATGAGCTCACCTGCCTTATAGATCAGCAAAGCTGGCAGAGCATTATTAGTAAAGCGAGTGCTAGCACCGATGAGTGAACTCTTTACTCTGCAAAATTTAACTGTTGGATACTCAGCAGCCAGGCAAATCATACAGCCGTTCAGGGATTCGGTGCCAGGGATATCCTCTTCATAAATATGGATCATGATCAGTGTGCTCTTATGCTCTTTATCAACTGTGTCCAAAAACGCTTCTCCACTGGTAATCTCAAAAACCTGTTTAAATTGCTGCCCACTGTACAACTGCTGCCTCATCTCCTCCATTCGCTGCTTCCTGTATCGCTGTAAAAATTCCTCATCATCTTCATCGTTGTGAATCATGTTATATTCTTGTAACGTCATCTAAAAAACACATACATAGATACATGAAAAAAAGATCTGCATCACTATATGGGTCACTTATATAATGAGAATTTAAATCAAGAGGATTAATGTGGGTCACTCATCTTTAATAACAGCAAAGTGCCACCCATGAAGGCTCAAGCACGCTCTGTATTACACTCCATTTTGATCTAATTAGAAACCACGTCCAGCGGGAACAGCGATTTCAGCCTTGGGTAGGCTAGTTCCCACAAGCTGCACTAATAACACAAGTGGCTGCTCCACGCTCCCACTTTAATTCAGGTTAATGGTGGCTATGTGCTTTCACTAAGCTATGAGCACCGATTTGGATACTGTGCCTGACCTAAGTCTAGCTTCTTTTTCATTTAGCTTTTCAGCTAACGTTTTGTGGCAACTAAATGCACTATCTTGTCTGTAGAACTAAAATTAACAGGATTTTATGTATTTCCTATCTGTTCACTTGCTTCGTTAAACATATTTGCATCGCTCAAGGTATAGGACAGCGTGGCCAACTTTCACCACCTGAAAGCAAGAAATGCTGCTAATTTATAACTTCTCTGACTACAACTGTAAGAGAGAGTCATACAGCCCAGCTGATTAAAACCATTGACTACTTCCAATACCACCTATCTTCGGAGCCCAAAGTCAAAGCTAAATTCTCAACACCCACTTACTAAATACGAAATCGATAAGGACCCCTAAACTCTTGCTTTAGGCATGGGAGGCAGTATGCATAGGTTTGCTGTACAACTCTTCAGATTAATCCCCTGAAGTTGACTTATTTGATAAACAGGTAAGGGAAATCTGGGAAAAGGATTTGGACTTCTTCGGTACAGCAGCTAAATTGCTCATTTCTTAACACAGGCAAATGCAACGCTCCTGCAATACCACTAAAATACAAAATAAGTAAACTTGACAACACCTGGCAAATACAGTTATAATACACCTCATATACCGCTGCTGTGTTGCAATTCACTAGGGAGAAACAATACACGTGTACTGAGAGAACAAGGGTTCCTATCTGCTTCACATACACAAATGATGAAACTGAAAATGTTAAACATTTAAGTGGCATTTTAATTCCTTTGTGCCATGCTACCTTTCCATTGATTTTTTCCTGAAGCTCTTTCTGCTTCTGCTTATCAGTCTCTTCATCTAAGTGAGATCTACACGTCATAGATAACTTTTTTATGAGTCGTTCCATTTCTCTGCGCTGCTCCTGCCGCTGTTCAGTTTCCAGTTGTTTAAATCTTCGCCAGTCATTAATGACACCTTTGGGACCTGAAATTAAATACGTGGGCATTTCGTATAAAAGGGTAATAAAATTACACCTATCATTTAAAATTTAAGTAGTAATTTGTAAGTCAGCAGTAAAATAGCGGTCCTGTCATAAACTTTTTGTATACTGTGCAGAGTGTTGAAATGAAAAAAGTAATTTGCCATTTACACGTCCTTGAACTTCTATTTTTTTTTCCTAAGATGACTAAAGTTTATCTAACTAGGCTACTCTCATAATTGTCCTAAAGATTATTCCAAAGATTAATACCTGTGCTCTTGAAACAGAACCACCAGCCCTCAAGAATTCCCCTACTGTTACCATGGCTTTTCTTAAGAGCAAAAACGATAGGGAAGTATAATTCAGTTTGCCAATGCTCTTGTACAGAAGTACATTCTGTGAGGTACAACAGTGTTAATTCTTATAGACTGCACCTTGCTGTTACCTTGCTGCTGGGGCCCAGTGGAGTTACTTTTTCAGGTCCCTTCTAAGCATGCCAGTTCAGTACTATAATTCTTCCTTCAGGTGAAAGATGTGAACACATGCAGGAAGAAGATTTGTCATCATTCTTAGAGAAACCGTAAAACGGAGAGGGCCAGTCTTTCCTAAGGACGTAAGAAAGACCCTCTGGATCACACCAAGGATCCACACAGACTCGTACTGTGTCTCTCGCAGTGGGAGTAGAGAACGCTATTTTACGAAAGCCTGACCGCTTTCTGCCTATTCTTCACGTACTCGTTCAGCACCCACCTGCTAGTGGTTAACAACTGTGGAGCTTACAGGAAAGAAATGTACGCGTTATCAACCAAATTGCACAAATCAGCTTTGTATGCAAAGCCTAACTGCTTTAGATAGAATGCTGAAGTCTCTCAGAGAAGTCAAACATTAAAATAAAGAACCAGCTATTAGAAGTAAGGTTAGACTATAGCCAGGGAACGATCAATCTCCGACTCAAGTAGGCACAAAACCAGAATGTTCATTTCGAAAAATGAATTTTAGAGAAACATTTTCAAATCTACAAATTTCAATTTACAAAACAATTAGTTTGATAGGACGATACCTGTGTTGACTGCACTGCCATCGCTGCTAAGCTCTACTTCCCCCATGCTTTCAGGAATGGCGCTCTCCCGTTCCTTATCTTCTTTCTCACTGTCTTCATCCTCACCCTCGCTACTGCTGTAATAATACTGGAGCTTCTCACCAAGCAGTTTATCATCCAAAGTAGTCATTCTGTTCTAAAAAATAAACCAACAAAATAGAGACTGTATCTCTTATTCAAATATGCACTGCGAGATACCACTTTAAATGCACAATGATAGCCCGTTACTTCCTCAGAGTAGTTTTTTAGCCACATAAGAACAGTTTACAGCCCACCATCAAACGGCCTACAGTGCAGTCAGTCACGGGAGTTAATTCTTAGTTACAATTTCAAACTCACTTCAGTTAAAAACTTTTATGAATAGGACTGCTTTGAGGCTCACTAGTGCAGAAACACCTTCTGTGCGTTCTCATTCATGGAGCATGAATTTTCCAACCGTGATTTGGGAATCTTATCAGCCTCGCTCAGCTCCATGAGGTTGATGTCCCAGTTGTTGACGTGTAAGTTTCCAGTATTATTTGCATTATTTTAACAATGATTTATTTGAGCTGAAAAATGATCAATGTAATTAATGAAATTAAAACATTCTGACCTTTACTCCTTTCAAGACTTTCAGAGACAAGCTTCTATCAAAACCTGGAAGAAGACATTTCAGATTATATTAACTCAAATTGTCAAAGACAATCTCAAAAAAACTTCTGCAGAAATCCGGCACGTTTAAATAACATAACACATGCAAGGAAAAAAGTTCAAAGAAAATGTAACAACATTTGTTATTTAATAAAAAAAGGTTACTCTCAAACATAGAAAACGTACTTTCTAGGTATTGAGCCAGAACACGCAAACGCTTAGTGCGGTTAGCGCTACAATTTCATGACCAGCACTTCCAGGCTAAGAAATAACATATGAAAAGAAAAATCTTCGTGTCTGTCATCTTTTCACCTGTCCACTGACTATGTCGGTCATCTTCACAGAAGTCAACAGCATCCTATTTGTATGGACAACACTGAAATTAGATGCTGACCCGCTGATAAAGTGATTGAAACTATCCTAAAAATCCTCGCTTTTCTCGAGTTAAACTTTTTTTTTTAATCCAAAATACTTTCTGCTAAATAGCAATTAACAGCAGCAGAATCCACCCTCTAAAGCTGCTGACAGCGTCAGCATTTACAGACTGGGTGAGCCTCTCGCATCAGGAAAACAGGAAGATCGGATGTTTCCAAGTGATGGAAAGCTGAGGAGCCATGGAGCACCTTAAGAGTTTGGGGCTCTCTCTCCACTGACTCTTTCCACCACAATCCTCTAAAAGAGCCGCTGACGGGATCTCATCCTGATGGAGGTGTAAAATGCCTGAGAATTACTCTTCTTTCCACTCTTCTTTCCTGGGTGAGGGGCAAAGGGTGCAGAAAGGAGCGCCACTAAGGTCTGATACACGGCTGGGGCCCTGTCATGCACGAACTGCATCTAAATGTCCACAAAACTTCATTTTAAATAAAAAAAGAAGAGGCAATTTGAATCAAATGAGTTGATTTGGGCTCACCGTTAACGCTGCAGGACTCTAGGCGTCAGCCCTGTTCGTGCGCATTTGACGGAGCCGCTCCCAGCACTGCACGGACCAAGCAGGGCTTTCAGCTCTTCTGCCAAGCGCCGGCAGGCTCTGCAAGAGTCAAAAGCGGACGAAGCAGATATGGAGGAGGCGGCCAGACGGCCCAGGATTACCGAGACGCCTTCTCGCAGCGTTGCGGAGCGAGGGGAAGAGGCGCCCGAACGCAGGCGGGGCCCGGCGCAG